AAAAAAAAAACATCCACTAACCCAAACCAACAGGCTTCCTCTCCAAACAATGGCACATAACCTCCAACGGCATGTTCGCCGGCTCCTGCATAGGCGTCATCCTCCTAGTAATCTGCCTCGAATTCCTCCGTCGCGTCGGCCGCGAATACGACGCCTTCATTCTCCGTCGCGCCCGTCTCAGAGCCCAGTACCTCACCGTCCAATCCCAACCATCAACCCCTGCCGCAGCCTCAGATGCAGAAGATGCCACCGCGGGCACAAAAGCCTCTTCATCCGCGCAGCCTTCCGCGGTAAAGGCACCCAATTGTCCGGCCGCTGATGTCCCCGTCCGACCTACTCTCGTCGAACAGCTGATTCGCGCCCTGATGCACATGTTGCAGTTTGCCGTGGCGTATTTCATCATGCTGCTGGCTATGTACTTTAATGGGTACATTATTATTTGTATCTTTATTGGAGCGTTCTTGGGATCGTTCCTGTTTACTTGGGAGCCATTGCAGTTGGGGAAGGAGTACGTTGTCCTTTTCGTTTCTTTTCTTTGCTTGCTTTCTTTGTGCCCTTTACCCCCGTTTCCATGCCCTGTTCAAGTGTGCGATTTGTGGAATGTATGCTGATGATATCTATAGGAATGATGCCCTCGCCGTGACAAAATGCTGTGGTTGATCTGGTGTTGTGTGAAGGGAAATTGGCTTTTGAATGTCGTTCTGTTTCTGATATCCATTTTATGCATAACGATTTTCGATGTATATTGATGCTAATAACGGATTTATCTTCTTACTACATGTCTATCAAATGTGTCTTTTGTGTGCCAATAGTACGATTAAGTCTACCACGTTTCATAAGATCTCTATTCTGCTCCGATATAGCTTAGGTTTGGATAAGTGTTCATGACAACCTGGGAAGAATATGAGACATCCTAGTTATATGGCAAGCTACAGATAATCAAAGTGTCTAAATCAAACAGAGGTGAGTGACTTAGGGCTGCGGCGGGCAAGGGATCAAAATACGTACAGAGTACGATTACGAGGGGTAGGTTAAGTCATGACCCCACCATGGCGAGCGGGGTTCTCTTTCGCTTCTACTCACTTGGGGAATACCATCAGGCAGCCAGATTTTTACATATTTGTATACTACAATACTCACTGCTGGTTATTCCATAAACTTATGTTAAGGGGAAGGAAAGGCAACAGAGATAATGGAGGTTGGTAATATGTCAATAGACACTCTAGATTACACCAGGCAAGGAAAACAGGAGACCACCGTTACCTCGAAGCTCACTCAAGGAAAAGGGAAAAAAAAAACCATTGGCTGTTTTCAATCCATCCCGTAAGGTCAGGCGTCCGAGGTCAGCATTTTTTCCTCTCACAAATTGGCTTTCTTAGTTTCCTCCTCTTGACGCATTTACAGCTCACCACAGTCAACGATGGTGGGCTTGACGGCAGAGCGGACAGCTCCAGAGCTGCTGCCAAGGGCTTCAATCTCCTTGACAACCTTCATGGACTCCTCGTCGGCAACCTCGCCGAAGACGACGTGCTTGCCATCGAGCCAGGAGGTCACAACGGTGGTGATAAAGAACTGGGAGCCGTTGCTATATGGGGTTTAGTGACTACCAAAGCTAGTGGGCATGAGTTAAGGATGACTTACGTGTTGGGGCCAGCGTTAGCCATGGAAAGAAGACCGGGCTTGCTGTGCTTGTACAGGAAGTTCTCATCGGCGAACTTCTCGCCGTAGATGGAACGACCACCAGTGCCCTGTATGATCCGTTCGTTAGCATTCATGTCAAACTGAGGCAGCGAAGGCTGCAAAAAGAGCGTATACTTACGTTGCCACGGGTGAAGTCACCGCCCTGAAGCATGAAGTTGGGGATGACACGGTGGAAGGCGGAGCCCTTGTAACCCTGGCCCTGCGGCAACTTGCAAAGCTCACGGAAGTTTTTAGCGGTCTTGGGGACGTCTTTCTCGTAGAGGTTGAAGGTGATGCGGCCCGTCTTGGCTATAGACAGCGACAGTCATTGTCAGCAAGCAGCGATGATGAGAGGGAATGGGGGAGAGGAATTGAGGGTGGAAAAAATGCATTTTCCTGGGTTCGAGGCATCTCAGACGTGGAAGATGCCAGATGGGAGAGGGGTAAATTCGAATGTCCCCCGACACCACAACAGCAGCGAAGAAAAGAGAGCAGACTTACGGGCGCTGGTGCCCACAGGGGCGTACTCGATGTCAAAGAAGGCTTTGGTGTTTGACATGGTTGCGGCTGTTTGATGAAACTGACGAAGAGAGAGGAAAGAAGACTGATTGCAATTGAAGAGAGGACGAGAAGCGAAGGACGAGGAGCAAAGTGGGGTTGTTGTTGACTTCAGGCTTCGGGAGAACATTGTTGCTGAAGGGGCACAAGCGGGACAACACGGACAAGGAAATTCTGCGGGGCCCAGAAATCAACCCCTCCGTTAGCCGACACGAGCCAAACATGCAATCCAGCCCCGGTGTGGTGGCCTCAGGCCGCCATATGGTTGGTTGGCCTGTCCTTTAGCCTTGGGGTGGACTTTGGGCTAAGGGATTGGAAAGGAACAGCATTGGATGGAAGCAACCAGACCCAACGACGTCGCCAATTCATCTCACCGGGGCTTTATGTAATCCTTTTTACTTACAGTTTAGATATATAAGGCAAATTGCGATAAATTAACACGGATGAGTTGCGGATGCGTGGTTGCGTGGAAAGCAATAGAACCAGAGTGGTCAAAGGAAAAATATCCAAGCAAAGAAAGCTCCCGGAAGCTCTGGATTATATAATCCCCTATTGCAGGCTTCGAGAACTTCCAAGACCCTAATGGAAAAATCTTTGGCCCGAAAGCTACCTAAGCTCCAGCGATTACTGTAGCAGCCCGTTGAGATCACGTGAATAAACGGTATTAGTACATACATACCGCTAGTACTTCGTCCAGTCCCAACGGACATCATTGGGTAATTGCATGCCACTCGAACGTAAAATAGTCCCACGCACTTAACTGATCTCTTCTCTAAGAAGGGGGACGGGAGGGGGGATATGCATATGTTCCCATTTAGTGGGCTGATACGATGATAGATCTCACATCAATGAAAGTGGAACAAAATTGCTTGCTATATTGCTATAATCGAAACCCCTCAGACAACACATATGCTATCTAAAAAAACCGAGCAAAAGAGAAAACAGGAGGAAGAAATGGATAATAATAGCAAAGAGCAGAAGACGCTGAGGAAGCCAAAGCGCTAATTGAGTAATAATGGCACGGAAGTAAGCCAATGGTACATAATAAACACAGAAGGTAGAACGAAGGTAAAGCCAAAATAAAATAAAATACAAAGTTCCATATAGCATTAAGAGGATAAAAAGAAGAAGATCATAAATACCACCCAGTTCAACACTCATTTCACATGGTTGCTCGTGGTCATGCATAATAACTGCAAGAAAGAAACTGCATAATCAACAGCTGTGACGGTCCTCTCAAATCAAGATGAGGTACGCAGCTTGATCGAGCTGCTACGGATGAAGTAAAGAAATATATAGAAGGAACACAAAGAACACTAAAAGGAAGAAGAACGTTAAACAAGGATGAAGTGCTAAAGCCTCACAACACCGAACATGAAAGATGCACGACTAGTGGAAGTCATCCTCGGATTCCTCTTGATCCCGCGGGTCAAGTCGTTGAACCAGCTCCTTTGTCTCCCTAGCGATCTCAAAAGCTATAGGGGGGAGTTTGTTGGTAATGTCCCGAACCTGTTCGGCGCTAGTAGCTTCCTCGCCATCAGTTGCTGTCCCCATCAAACGGGCCCTGTGCTGGTCTAGTTTCTCGATGATTGGCCCAGCACGCTGTTGAAGCACGGGGTTAGCTTCTGGTTTATGGATGAAATGCTCTGTGGATGAGGAGACATTGGTAACGATGGAGGAGATAGCAGAAACGTGGGTGCGTATGGTGGTCAGGCCATCCTCAGCGCGGATACTGGCAACAAGTGCTTGAATTGATTGAACCAGTCCTTCTGTCTGGTCTTCGACGTAAAGCTGCCAACAATATTAGGCATCACACTGCAAATGGTATAATCGGAGGTATACTGACCTTGAGCTCCTGAAGCTCGTGATCTCCAGACGGTCCGGGGTAGCTGGCCTTTGTGGCTGCTGTCATTCCATGGGCAGCATGAGACTCCGTATGGTTACGAGAGTGATTAGATGGAGGGCTCATAGCGCTGTAGACAGACCCATTGTTACTGAACCTGCCCTGGCTCGGTGTGACACTAAAGTAGTCGGGGGATTTCATGTGGGCCAGCTGTTCCTCATCGTCCTCGTTAAGATCGCCCGCTGGTGAAGGTTGGATCTTGACAAGGCGGATGAGATCAACAACAGCAGTTGATAGATGCGACGCAGCGGCATCCAGAAGAGAGACTGGCGAGAGGCCGCATGAGCTAGCGAAGTTCTTAGATGCAGTTATCAAATTATTTGCCGTCGCAGAGACTTTCCGGGTAGCCTTTGTCCGGGAAGCTGACAAGCCATCTTCGCGATCGGAAGCCTCTTCGACGTCACGAAGGACATGCCGGACGGCGATGACAACTGCTTTGATTTGCTGCATCACCAGATTGTAGTCGTCGAATCGTGCAATTCGAAGCAGTTCATCGATGGAAATCTGGAATTTTGTCACATGAACATCCTTAACAAGACCATTATCTTGCAGAAATGCGTTATCCTTTGCGATCGCGTTGACATCTGAACGGAGTTCTATGCCCGTTGAGGACGCTCGCAGGTGTCGTAACTGGGTCTTTGCCTTGGCATACCGGCTCTTCCACTGCTTCACCTCATCTTCTAGTCTGTGAACCTCACTGGACAGCCGCTCTTCGTGTTCCCATCTCGAGTGGCTCTGTTCCGATAAGGCCTTCATTTCCATGAGAAAACCAGCTGCTTCTCGCCTCACTTCCTCCGTCACTTGCTGCTGTTCCTGAAGTTCGGCCTGCAAACCTTTGTGCTTAATTTCAAGATCAGCAAATCGAGCTTGCAGTTCAGCATCCTCAGCACCCTCTCGGGATGAGCCGTCAATTTGGCTTCGCAGCTCTCTTTCCATAGCATCGTGCTCCGTCCGAACTTTATCTAGCTCCGTCTGCAACGAACTATTCAGATCTTCCGCCTTGGAGATCTTGCTTTCCAGATCCGACTTCAGGTCCTCCCATTCCTGACGTTCAGACTCACCAACTTGGGTATTCTCATGTCCTTCCTGGTATTTGGACAGCTCCTCATCTTTGGCCTTTAGTAATCCCTCCAGCTCATCCACCTTAGTCTGATCTCCATGATGTTTAGAGAGCTCCTCATCCTTTGATTTTAATAACTCCTCAAGCTGGTTCACCTTCTCTTGGAGCACTGACACCTGGGACTGGGTGTCCGCCAACAGCTTTCGTTCACCCTCTCCCAGGGTTGTCGTAGTTCCTCTCCTGCTTTGCAGAACCGCATCCAAGGCGAAAGCATCACTTCGCGCGTCATAATCATCATCTACACCAGCCACATCGTCGTCATCCTCCACCATAGTACTTTTATTGGGTACAATCGTGTTGCTCTGGAACGATTTGGCCATGGGGCCGTGGTCCCCATTAATGGATGGCGGCCCGCCTAAGGATCCTTGCCGCGGAGGAAATACGCCGCTCATAGGGCTGCCGGGTGGACCTCCTGATGGGTAACCCCTCCGCGGCGGGCCTCGAGACTGCGAGCGAGGCGGAGGGTATCCCCCGGGACCGTATCCATTCGGCGAAGGATAACCGTTCGATGGGTGTCCACGGAAGCTAGGAGCTGGGCTCGCTCTGCGGGATTCTTTCTCCGGGAATTGGGGGAACCGTCGCTCCAACTCAGTGTAAACATCCGTGGCCAGGTCTCGAAAACGGACATGCTGGAGCGACGCTAGTTTTTGGCGAGCCTGGTTGCGCTTTTCATGAAAATCTTGTCGGGGCGGTAAAAATGGAGGGACATCGGGAGGAGGAGGACGGTTGGGAGAAGGCATGGCTTGTTGCCGTCGTTTTAGTTCGTCGTACACGTCAGTGCTCAATTCGTGGAACTGGGTCGCCGATAGTCTAAGTAACTTGTCTCTAGCTTTGCTTGGCCTGCCATTCCGGTCCTCACGATAAGATGTACTAAGAAACATCCTCAAAGCAACATAATGCTGTCCTAGGATATTCTCCATCTGGCGGTATCGCTTACTACGTTGATCCGACAATGTGCCATCACTCGACCGCGCCGCCACAGAGGTCGGCGACGGCGGGTTTCCCGAGTCGCTCATCCGGCCTGACAAGGTCGCATTTGGTAACCCAGCGCCATTTGGCCCATTGGCAGTACCTGAGGTCGGAGGTGTGGCTAGGTTACCGCGACTCGATAATGTTGGCGAGAATGGCCCTTCCGACTTCTGGTATTGATTGATCCCTGACCAGTCACTACCGTCCACTGAGACAGGCGACATAGTCCCTGAGTGACCATTCATAGGGGGTCACAATGACGGCAGTCGCGTCACTCCTGCAGCCACTCGCTCGGGGCAACCCTTCACCTCCTCAGTATAGCGGTCCTGCAGATATGCATTCGAGATCTCGAGGGATTGCGATCACAAGAGGGCGATAGGCAAAGCCGAAAGGCGAAAATTAAGGAGGATTTAATTTGTGGCTGACGATATCGGGGAGGACTCTTAGATTGTCCGGAGAATAACAGCGAATGGATTTGATAATGTGCAAGCCAATAGACAATGCAACAATAAAGATAAGGACAGTGCGTAGACAGGCGGAAGTAATGGCAGAATAACAGACATATAACAAAATCCCACAGACGCACACAGCCGGATAGAACACAAAGAATATATCAAATATAATAAAATTAAAAGGGACAAACTTAAGGGCACGAATGCAGCCAAGTCAACAGCCACAGGAGCAAAGTCCAACGTCCCGAAGTCCAAAGGAGTGGAGGACCGACGGGGACTGGGGGACGGGCGGAAGAAGGGAGAGAACGAGACAGCGAGCGTGAGAGACAGACCCAGACCAACATTGAAAAGGAAATGATAGTATTTTTTACATTTAGTACGGGCCGAGAAAAGAGATTCAGGTATGCGGCACGGTGTGTATGCTACCTTACTGTACGTATTGTGATAGGAGCCTGAGGTATATTAAATACATACGTATCAATATTCATCGTTGTCGCAGGATGACTATATCCACAACAAAGAAAGCAAAAGAAGGGATGAATCTTAAACATACAAATCTACTGTGGTCCTCAGAACTAGTACCTAGATAGGGAATCTTTTACATATGTGTGAAATAACGACCCCTGCTCGATGCATCCCTGCTTCCAAGATGAGTCTTACATAAGAACTGTACTCCGTACCACCCACACTAATACGTACAGTACGGTGCAGTACAAGTATTTATGTACATATGTACTACATCCATTCATCAGCTCGGGCGCAGTTTAGTTCCACCACCCGCAGGAACAGATCAATTAGTGCCGCTTGTGGCGGTGCTCCTTTTTTGTACGGAGTACGCATCACCTTTTCCCGAATCAATTCACCGCCGTAGAATCAGATGATTCTGAGGTAGCAAGGGAATTCTCCGATTAACAAAAATACTCGATATTGCCTATCTGATTCCTCCACTTTATATCCAGTATGGGGTTTTTACTTTGGATATGATTGGGGTTCGAGGCTTTGCTCAAGAAGAAGTTACTTGTTGAAAAGTTGGAGCCTGAGGCGGGGAGTCCAGACCATGGCTTCAAACTCGGTTCCGCCGACTAGTATCTCGCTAGACAACGTGCCCCATACTCCGTATACAAGGCCTATACCCAAACAATACAATACAACTGGTTTTAGGGGTCTGTACAATTTTAGGAGTAGGTATTTACGGGCCCTAGTAGGCATCAAGAGAGGTCTCATTATTAACAGTTGTATTCCTTGAGGTCAATGTTCTTTCTATTTCGATATACATACACCCGAGAAGTATCATTTCTTAGCCTTTCCAATTAACATGCCTGGTCGGCTTTATTCCTCCTTTGCTTAATCTTTTTTTTTTTTTTTCCCTTTCTTTCTTTCTTGTTATTTATTGCATTGAAGTCATTTTTCTATCATGTTCATTTCCCCTTTGCGCTGAGAATGGCGACGAGCATAATCCCATACTCCACTTATTGGTCGTCACATGGTGAGTAACGTTAAAAAATCGAAAAGCATACAATAGCCTCCATAGAGTCAAAAGATGCGCGACCCTACACACAAGGGCCTTTAACCAAGAACCATAGGGTATCATTGAATATACAAGGAATGCGGGGAGGAGAGCCAGGAAGAGGGTCTGCTACATAGCAGCGGTATTGGCAGTAGTGTGTCATGAGGCAGCTAAAGGAACAAATGGCTACCTAGACCCTCGTTCATTTCGAACTCGTCATAGTCAATCCCCGAGCAGCGCCAACAGCCGCCGAGACAGGAGTTGACGACCGTGTAGGGGCGTTACTGCGGTTGTGCGCCATGTGCGCACGGACAAGATGGCCGGCAGCAAGTGCAGAGCACAAGCTCAGTTCGCCTGCAAGCGTAGCGGCGGCAACAATCCGTGCGAGTTGACGGGCGTTGTCACCAGGGTTGGTGGGGTGAGAACCGCGCACACCGAGTAGGTCAAGCATAGCGGACTGCCCTTCAAGAATCGTACCACCACCAATGGTTCCGACCTCGATCGAAGGCATTGACACGGAAATCTGAAGGTTACCATTGAGACTGAGAGCGTGGCAGTTAGTACACTGATGTTAATCGTAAAAATTGGCAACCTGTGACTTACTTTCTCATAGTTGTAATGCAGCTACTGCTTTCCACGTTCTGCGCAGGATCCTGACCCGTTGCCAAGAAAATGGCAGTGACAATGTTTGATGCGTGGGCGTTAAAGCCACCCAAGCTTCCAGCCATTGCACTTCCAATCAGGTTTTTGCTAGTATTCAATTCGACCAGCGCATCAACGTTACTTTTGAGCACACTCTTGACAACATCACCAGGGATGATAGCCTCTGCTACAACTGACTTGCCACGTCCATCGATCCAGTTAAGAGCAGCGGACTTCTTGTCTGTACAGAAATTACCAGAAATGGTGATGGTGGCCATGTCATCAAATCCACATTCCGTAGACATCACATGAAGCGCCTTCTCAACGCCCTTGGAGATCATGTTCATACCCATAGCATCGCCGGTCGTTGTCTTGAAACGAATATACAGGTATGTACCAGCAAGAGCGGTCTTCATAGTCTGGAGACGCGCAAAGCGGCTGGTAGAGTTGAACGCGGCCTTCATGATACTCTGACCCTCCTCAGAGTCAATCCAAACTTTTGCAGCAGCGGCGCGTGCCAGGGTAGGGAAACCAACACAGGGACCACGAGTCATACCATCACCAGTGAGGACGGTCACTGCACCACCGCCTGCATTGATAGCCTTAGCACCACGGCTGGCACTTGCTACCAGCACACCCTCAGTGGTAGCCATGGGGATAAAGTAGCTTTGGCCATCGATGGTAAGAGGTCCAGCAACCCCAAGGGGCAGAGGCAAATATCCAATGACATTCTCACAGCATGCACCGTGAACCAATGTATAGTTGTAGTCCTTGTAAGGGAGCTTCGAGGCCTCCAAAGAGCTTGTAACGGCAGACGTGGCCTTGGTCCTAGATACCACAGCTCTTCTGATTTTGACTGCCCTCGTGAAGGCATCCACGCGGCTCATCAGGTCCTCATTTTCCATGGTCTTCTCCAGAGCATACCCGGGAATCTTGCCTTGCAAGCAAAGCTCAATTAGATCCTCATCTGACAAATAGGGTGCCCGCTTTTCCTTCAGGAATACTTCACATTCCTCTGCACTTCTCTTCGAGCTGTCCGCATTCAAATCCACCTTGGGGTAAACCTTCGGTTCGACGACCTTGGGCGCAGGGGCAGCCTCGGGTTCCTTGATACTCCACCGTGCCGCGTTGAAAAGGTAACCATTGAGAACGATGCTCAGGGTGAGCGCAGCAATAATCCATTTGCTGATGACTGGGTCCTCGACGCTCTTCAGTAAACTTTCAATCACGCGTCCACCAACAGCATCCAATAGTTGATCAGTGTATTCAATGTCAAAGGATTGGCTATCTCCTGGCGCAGCATAATGGACTGAAGGGTATTCGAGCTTGTACTTGATTGGTGGGATGACAGTCACAACAGTTTCCGTCATCTGGCTCTTCGCAGTCACGTAGATCGAATCAAGACCGTTTTCAGCGACCTTAAATGGGTCAATCGGTGTGGGCGCGAGCACGTTGGATACCCGGGAGAGCAACGGAATAGGGCCCAGAGCGGAATTCCGGAAAGGAATGGCAGATAAGTTGACCACATTAATCAAAACGAAACCTCCAACCATGAGAATCTTAAAACGGCGCACATTGCTTGACTTGATTTTCCTTCCGAAGATGCTGGTGTCGCTGTTTTCCGAGCCAGCCTGAGGCCAATCATTGTTTGAGGCCACATTTTCGGCGACACGGTGCGTAATACCATCCTCTTCTAAAGCTTTACGGAGCGCAATGTGACGCTTGATACGAGTGATTTCAAGCTTGATGCAAAGAATAGTCGTATAGAATGTAAACAGCAGGAGGCAGTCGAAGAACAAAATCCAAGCAGCCAGGAAGCAGAACTGTTTCAAGCCGCCTTGCACCCCTGAAGCAGCGCCAGCAACGAGGATAGCAATCTCAATACAGTAGTCCCGAACAATCTCGAAGCCCTGTTCCCTGATTGCGGTTTGGATCGAGTCTTGGATGGATATCGCAGTGGTCGGGTTCGCTGGGCTGGAAGGAGCAGCAGCACCTCGGCGCTTGTTGTCAGCCGAAGCGTTGAGCACAGCCCGAGTCAAGATTATCGGCTTTTCGAACCCAATAGTGACGACGAGGAACGGGAGTCCTTCCGACAGGAGGAGCACGTTGATGGGAACACCGAGTTTAGTCGTAACGAGGAGGCCAAACAGAAATGCGAAAGCGCCAGTCAAAAGAACCGTGCCCGCAAGCCAAAACTTCGAGCCCAAGCGTCTCATGGAGAAGAAGAGGGAGACGAAGCTCAGATGCATCGACAGGTAGCCCAGAGTCATAATGACAATATCAATTGTTTCGGCATGCTGATGTGGGTAAGCAACAACACGAGTATTGAGGGCCAAGGGGTAGTACCTTGATCAGGTCCACGAAAGAACTCCATGCATCTGTAAGCCAGAGCTTAACTGTCCTGGGACCGGTAGCGGGCCCACGGGCCGCCCGCATAATCCATTTCTTTTGTTCACCAACATCCTCGTCGGCCGAGGAGTCGGGAATCTCCTGCACCGCTTTCAGGAACTGAGAAACCTGAGCATACGGGAGAGTGAACGCAAGAGACGAATCATGAGAAAACGGGGAGAACAGATTTGGAGTATGAGGAACTTGTTGTGCAGAAGCGTTGGCGGGAACTGGAACTTCATCGGCAATGGGAGCAGTAGCATCAGACCTAGTAGAATCCGGGAAGACAAAGGTGGTCAATGCGAGATGCTGAGCAGCCTAGTCCAGGGATACAATGAGCATTCAAATGCGTGTGTTGCCGGCGGAAAAAGATTCTTACCTCGACATCTACGGGGTTCAGGGCATCTTCGACCTGCCATTTCCAGGACGTGCTTTCTCCCAGGCGAAGATTCCTGCCACCCTGGAGGAGTGTGTCCACGTCGACCTGACCAGCGACATTCTTAGGGTTCCTAATACTGTCAAATATGCTCCCCTCGATCAAACCGACATAAGTTGTACTAGCGAGCAAGGCGACCACGACGATTGTGTGGATCGGATGAGCACATGCCCGGCGGGATATAGATTGCAAGCCGCCGGTGACCTGGCGCTTTAGCCAGCTCGGTTGGGCGTCACCCTCAGCGTCAGTTGCACGCCATTTTCGAGGGATCAAAGTCGCCGCCATCTTGGGTGTGATCGAAGGCAACAATTTCGACGAAACAGAGAGGGCGGTGAGGGCCTCGTCTTGAGAGAAGTTCTGCTAAATCGACGGTCCGCAGGGAAAAGACGTTCTCCGCAGGATAGACCGCCCGACTTGTCTCAGACTTCACTCAAGCCTAGTATAGACGGGTTGTCCCAGTGGTGAAAATTTCTCCACAACCGTCAGACAATCGCATGGAGGGAGAAGGAAAGGGGGTCGGTAGCGGGTTTGTTGGGGGCTCTAGAGGCAAAAAAGGATAGGCAGCGGTCAGCTATTTATTCCGTACAACTTTTTAGGAGAAAGGGTCCGGTGGATCACGGCACCAACGTACCTAATTGACAATTGAGAGAGAGGGAGCCCTGTCCAGTGCGGAATGTATTTTCAGATAAAAAGGATGTCACACTCTAATTCCTCTTCCCAACTGGGGAATTCTTTCTAGACTCGGCCCCTGAAGGGTTGAAAGTTGGGACCAGCTTCAGCTGGACCACACAAAACGCGCGCTGGAATTAAGTAAACCCGGGGGTTTCGCCGCCAATGGAAAACCGTAGCCAATGAGGATGGAGTCGGGCGGATATATTACCCTCAATACATGGAAGTACCAGAGTAGTTGGTGGTAGGTAACAAGATCCAAAACTTCCCCCCTGTTGAAGAAGGTTGGTTAGAAAGGTAGGCAGAATAAGTCGGAGGGGAAGGAAAAAAAAAAAAAAAAAGAGAAAGAAAGAAAAACAGAAAATGCGTGAGGAAATGGCGGAGAGATAATATAAGAAATTCTCCCCAAAGTAAGACGGGAGCTGAGAATTCCCTCTTCGGTCTAGAGTAGTTTGGGTGGTTCTTTTTCTTGGCCACCGGCTTATCGGGAACCCACTGAATACCACCCAGACTAAATGGATCTAGTGACTTTTATAACCCTGAGAGGGTCATGTTGAGGTCAGAGAGTACCATTCGGTGAAGCTCCTCTTTTCTTTTTCCTTTGTTTCTGGCCTCTTCTCTTCCCAAAAAGATCAAATACACCGAGGCATCGGCTATACTATAGGGCAAGGTTCTTACCCCTCGCAGAATCATTGCATACCTAACAGTATGCCGTTTCCCCAGTTCAACCAAAAAAGCAGGGTTCTGTCCCGATCGCAATGAGCTGGAAACACAAGCCCAATGGCTGACATTGCCGATGAATCGTTTGTCCCACCATAAGTCCCAGCGTCCCTTGGATAGAAAACCAATTAAGGGCCGGAGTTCTGAACCGAAAACAGGTGTTTGACCATTCATATACGCAAGTCCCTTATAGGGTTCAAAGTCTGTAGATCCATACATCATGGATATGCCATCCTAGATACTATACTATGCCGTTTTCCTTGAGAGGCATAAGGAAGATCCAAAATAAACCCATGACCTCAATAAACAAAATAAAATAAAAGTTATACACCCCCATTCCCATGTTTGATCTCAACCTTTGGCTACCTTGGCACCTGTGAGACCGAAATGTTATGTAACTGAAAAGACGGCTCCGCCCTTTTGCCCATGGTAATCCCAGCAAAGTCACCACTAAACGACCTTCAAGCCTACCTCCCAGACTCCCAGTCCTCTCCCTGGCGGGTTCCAGTGGGACGGTTTAACCAAGTGGACACAAAGCCAAGGGCTTGATTTGTGTATATTATATAACAATAAATTACTCCGTCCTTTGCAATCCACTTGAGGAGTCTTGATCCGTCGGAGATAACGCGATACCCACATTCTCATCTAATCAATCTCTTCATCTCCCTCCAATCATTCCTCCTAGATGGTCCAGATGAAAAGTGACGACCCCCATCGAAGGGGTATTTCTTCCGTTCTGAATTTAGATGCCTAGTATATTCGGGTATTACACTACAAGGAATAGCTCGGGTCACTTAATGAAAGACGAAAATGAAGCTGGAGGCCGTAACCGGAGGTTGGCAGAAGAGCAACAGAGCCAGCTGATCCAGATACGAGACAAAGGTCCGTAAAAGATGGTTGACCTTCTCAATTGGACTGGAGTTGCATACGGACCAACTTCGGTTGGTACAAATTCATCAGTCATTGTGCCATGTCACTCTCTACGATTGTGCCCGCGGGATGAACAATAGAAGTTGGTCATAGACAATGGAACCATCTGGATACACTGATGGGGTCGACAAGACGCGTCTGACTTGGGGACCAATTGATCGAGAGAAACAAGCGAGCCGGAGACCACCAAAACAATGAATACTACCGAATTTTTGTGGAGAATTTTGTCCACGCCAAGCACCTTGGAAAGGAATGAGAGGCCGAACAAGGACTTTTAGCACCGATGCCGGATCGGGCTCAAGCAGACGCTATCCATAAGATTCCATATGTGTGAGGTCTTTCTTATGTACTAGGAAAGACCGTCATTTTGCTACTTTATTAGACAGGTGGTAACTTCCCCAACATTGGAATATCAACACCGTTGAAGATTAGACCTACATCCGGCATCGAAAGGATTATATAGACTCCCTACTACTATTACTAGTATAGATCGACAGAGCATTAGATTGCATTATTTTTAACTCTAAGCCAGCTTCCGAAGAAGTATCTGTCGTGTGGCTGTCAAAGCAGGTTGCATTGTTTCCATTCGCGCCGTTTCCTCTAAAGTGGGGCTGAAGAGGTGTCTTGCTAATATGTCTCGGCGCTTGGACGCCCAATGTCTATGGTTATACCCTAAGTTTTCCCTGCATCTCAATATAGTCTACAGGTGTCTAACTCTGTTTCAGATTTGGCAACGGACGGACTGTGTCGCCTTAGAGCGTTAATCCCTAGATCTCAGTGAAGGACTTCGATCTTAGCGCCACGGTACATAACCATGGCCAATGAGTGATGTCGCATGTTCCCAGTGTTTGTCTTTCTGCAACACTGGGATTACCATGTTATCATGCGCAGGCTCATGAGACCATGGGAGCCTCAACTGATGCGGGTAAGCGCCGCTACTATTTGTAGGAATGTTGCGCAAATGGAACGGGTCTAAGAGTCCTTGAGACTCCAGGATACCCTATCGTGTTGGTCCAATTTGATGGATCCCTGAATAAGACCGATTAATGGACGAGGGGTGCCTGATTTGCATACTTTCGTAACACCTCGAGAAGCAGATTGTGCCTGAACGATGACGTCGAAGAACCTATTCGTTGGCTGCGGTTATCTGCATTACTCTTTCCGTCAAGTTTCTAATTGTTTGGCGCCGCTTAGGGGCCTGCTGTTACTATTGATATTTCTATAGAACTCTCCTTGTCCGTTCTGTTTCGAGTGCCTCCTTGTGGGCACCGCAAGGGTCCCTACATTCCACTTCTATTGATTGATGGAAACCTATCTGAGGATTCTCATTGGCAAGCCAGAGGAGGGTTCCCCAAAGAATGCTGTCATTTCTGTCTATTTAAGGTCAATACCCTTCGGTGAATACCCGATTCCCCATGTCTCATTGTTGAATGCTCGGCATTGTCCCCCCTTTGAAGGCATATCCAGGAAATTGATTGCTTTGTTTCTCCAAAATAATCCTATTGTATCTGATGAAAACAAAGGGAATTCCTGAAAAGAAAGAGGGTCCTAAGGCATTATGAGTATTTAAGCCGTGTTGGTATTCCCTAGTCGCTCAATATATTCCTCACTAATTCATGGCCTAGACTTATTTTGAAATCCATATACTCCGCTGGCCGGGATTTATTACATTCCTTTTCTAAAATCTAAGCCAACAACAACTACAAAGAAGCCTCCAAAGCATGGATTTCAAGCTCACTCCCTGGAAAAGCGGCCTGGGGCTGCTTTCTCTCCTCATCTTGACCCCAATGGTCGTCGCTCACTCATGGGTTGAACAGCTCATGGTTATCGCACCGAATGGCACCTTTGTCGGTTCTCCGGGGTATTCAAGAGGAAACGTCCTTCGCTCTGACCCCGGATACAGCGACACTAAGATGCAATATTTGGTCCCAGATGGTCGCAATGAGATACTCCCAACTGATTTGCTGTGTAAGGATACCCAACAGCAGCAAGTGCAGTCCGAAGGGAGTCCAAGACTGCAGGCAAGTGCTGGCGCTGCCATTGCCCTCCGGTACCAGGAAAACGGCCATGTCACACTGCCCGGGAATCAGCTGGGAAAGCCTGAAAATCGTGGGACAGTATACGTATACGGAACAACAGAACCAAAAGAAAATGAGAAGATAATGGACGTGCACAAGATATGGAATAAAGAGGGTACCGGAGGCGACAAACGCGGTGTGCTCCTGGCAACGCGAAACTTCGACGATGGCCGCTGCTATCAAGTTAACGGCGACAGTATTTCAAAACAACGCCAATCGGAATTCCCTCATACCGCAGATCAGTTAATGGGTGACAATTTATGGTGTCAGTCAGATATTGCGCTGCCATCGAATGCACCATCCGGGAAGCCATATACTCTCTACTGGGTCTGGGACTGGCCTACACTTCCTGGCGTGGACCCAAACTTGCCCAAAGGAAAGCAGGAAATATACACAACCTGCATTGACGTTGATGTGGTAGCCAATACAGGGGCTCAGTCGCATGTGGTTGCAAGTTATGTCCAGGATCAATCCTTGAATAACGCTGCCATCCCAGCCCAGCTTGCGGACATCTTTGGTTCTGGCGCTTCTTCTGGCTCTGCACAAAGCTCGCCTATAGATGGAATCTCAAGGACACCCAGCGGTCCTAGGCCTACTGCGTCAAAGTCTTCGCAAGCAGTCATCAGATCCAGCAGCTCTTGGTCTTCACCCATCGTGGTGGCGACTCCTACGTCGCTTGTCCAAGACCCAATGGGTCCACAAAGGATAGCAACAGTAACATCCTTCGTGACAATGATGAAGACTGTCTTTCCTAGGTGTTCCGCTAGTGCGAGCCCACAATAAAGAGAGATACAGAAAGTGTCCCTTGCATTTAAATATTTGCGGCTTGATTTGTAATTTCAGCTTCTGTTGGTGGTTGGCGATTTTGGTCCTTTGGACGAGCGACGGGTGTGGAACAAAGAATATAGACCAAATATTTCTATAACCAAGACCCGGTCAGGCAGGTCTGACCTATTAGAGCACTTGAAATGCTATGGTATCCATTTTAACCATCCTCTCCCCCCTCCGACATAAGTACTATAGTACTTGTAATCGAAAGAATGTGATATTTTGCAATATAAATGAAACCTTCTTTGGATAGCGAAACTTGTTTTGGTTCCAGAAAGAAGGAAAAGGTTCACCAGCCGTAAGAGAACAACATAAAACTCGTCCCCTTACTTTCTCTCGTCTTCAAAGGTAAGGTGGTGACAGCCACTTGGATATCGAAGCGAGGAGGTTGGCGAATGTATGTATGTATGTATGTACTGCATGTCCATAGTATGTACCTGAGGCATTCGGTGACCAATCAGGAATGGTTCAAGGCACTTGACTCTGAAACACGCTAAGCGGGTGTCACGTGCACGTGCCCGCATCGAAGCAGAAAATAACTCTAAGCCTCAAAGCTGGTGGCCATGGGCATTGCGATTACAATTGGGATCAAAACGTCCTGCTGAGCTGTTCAGACCCTCGGCCGGATTGCTTGTTTGCCCTGCAGCTATTTCCCTGCATCTGCCGGTGCCCTGGTGAGCGAATAATTTTAATCCCCCAGTGGCAGCAGAACTCCACAACGCAGCCGACTGCGCCTCGTTGATCCTTAACGCTTCAAGGCCAGTCTTCAGGCGTAAGTAATCTCCGACAAGCCTCTCCTACGCTGGGTCCCTCCTCCACCGTCCAATTTCCTATCCTATCCTATTATGCAAGCCTTGCCATGCACATACTCCTTTACACACTTTTAATTTTCTTGGTTAACGCTCCCCTATTCAGTTTGCGCCATAGATACTTCGTCCATAGTCGCCATCATTGACAGCGGCGCTTTGCTCTGCTGCTATAATTAGAACCTCCATTTTACTCTCGACCAGCAAGCGCGGGACGAAACGCTCGAAACTGCATATTTTGCAGCACCCACTGGTTATTGGTCACCACATTACTGATCCCCTCTCTCGCATCCTGTCGCTGATTCGGAGGTTCCTTTAATTTCTATTCTACCATCGAAAGGAACGTTACTCTTCGAACCATACCGAGGTGGTTCACGATCAATAGCCGCGCTCTCACCTACCGCCGATTGTCTGTTCCTGTAGGCGTGTGTCAACAGACCCATTGAGTCCGCATCGTGCCCTTGGCGTCTACTACTACTACTACTTTCTGTGACTCTTGTCTCTGTGTCCCGGTATAGACCTCTCCAGCGCAGCCTCCACAGTATAGCAGCACCAGCCCGGATCGTGCCTGCACGCAAGGAGTTCGCCAGTGCCCCTCCGAGTCGCATGCTCCCTTCGTTGTCGTTCCTCTGGCCCATCCCTTTATTTGGTGAAGATCATCTTTCATCTGCTTGTTGACAACAGGCATTCTTCTGTCCCGAGTTACAGTAGAGTCGCGGGTGGACGGTCGCAATGCCAAACTAGGGTGTAAATGTTTCGAAATTTGCCCTAGCGATCACATCCGAATTCTCTTACCCATCTCGAATTTCTGACACAATCGTTCTCAGCGCTGGTTCTTCCCCGACAAGATCCATGACCACAACTATGACTTCTACGGCATCGCCACCATCGCAGCAGGATGACTCTGCGTCCAATTTAGCGGTCTTGCCTCCCATCGTTACGGACGCCACTGTCAAGCGACCCATTCGTCAGCGATCATCCTCGTATGCGAAAGACCGTCTTTCCACACTTTCCAACGTTTCCCTAGCCTCTCAAAACCGGTCGCGTCCCGGTTCACATGTTTTTCCGGTCTTCCATTCTAGCTTGCCGTATGCACTAGTGCGAGATTTCGCATACCCATCAATCCATCCTCTACACTACGGTCCATTGCCACCACGTGCGTCTGGGGTGTCAACCCCGGTGAGTGAGCAGCGGCGCCTGTCCGACCCTCCGGCTCCGTGGGATAGCTCGCGGGGACAGTGGTCAACTGGGCCATGGAGCACCGACCACAGCTACGGACACCAACAACTCCCTGCTATGTCGTTCGGTGACGGTCCACCATATAGCGAGGATGAAGACCTCCATAGTCCGGTATTTTCTGCACCTCGCCACCGGAAGAACAAGTCTACGGGCACGGACCTGAATAGTGGGCGAAAAAGGAGCCCTAGTCGCCAAGAGGCCACAGACTATTTGGGAGATACTGATCGCGGGATGTATGTCAGCACAAACGCGGATGGTAGCGAAACATACTATGTGAACGACGAAGATGAAATAGATGACGGCCCTGGTGGCGAGTACGTCACATACCCGGTAAATGAGAGCCGATACTCATATGCGGGGACATATGGGAACTATCCGGACTATGGCCCTGACGTGGAATACGAATCGGAGGATGGGTATGCTGGTGATCGGTACAATGGCGACTTCCAGTTTGCCGTAGGATGTCCGGATGAAGAAATGCACGGAAAAGCGGTTGCACTTTTCGACTTCACTAGGGAACACGAAAACGAGCTTCCCCTGACAGAGGGCCAAGTAATCTTCGTCTCTTATAGGCATGGCCAAGGTTGGCTTGTTGCGGAGGACCCGCGGACCGGGGAAAGTGGCTTGGTGCCGGAAGAATTCGTTCGGCTGCTCCGGGACATTGAAGGGGGACTGACATCGTTGAACGGTGATCCGGACTCTGAATTATTGGACGGCGCTCATTCTAACCACGATTCGACCGAATACCACCAGGTGATAGCACCAACTCAGGATGACCACCCGAGCTATGTCGCTAATGGCGAGAAGAAGGATGACAATGAGCAAGGGGTTGATACAGTGAAGCAAATTACGGAGAAAACACATCAGGACGGACAGCATGTCGCCGTTCCGATGAAGACGTGATGTGTCCATTTTTGTGGGGATACGCAGGGACTTATAATAAGACCTGTCATGCGGAGAAGTAGGGCCAACTCATCGCCCTTTCTTGGATGGCGAATGCCTTGTGTGCTTGCTTGAGCGTCTCGAGACGGTCGAGCTACAGCACGAAAACCCATCGATTTCTTTGCTTTCTCGGTTCCCAGGCTGGAACTTTCAATTCTATATGATAACAGCGGAAACACCCGCTAAGCCGGTTATATGGGTAGGGGTGGAGTGTGCATGCATGGTATAATCGCTGTTTTTTGCGAGAAGACATTGCTGGCGTCGAGTGCTAGCAACGTAGCATCACATCAGGCTATAGGGTTTTGTGGTTTGTAAATATGTTTATGCTTTGTATTTTTCAGCGTCGGCGTCGCATAATGCATTAGATTTGACACATCGTCTGATCATGTTTCAGGACGGGAATGAGAATCCAGTATAGTATATGTGGAGAATTAATGATGCTTCTTATTGTTACTGATCTATACTTTCACTCTCCCATGTTCATCCGTCTCAACTGAGCAGATTCCAGCAATTGAAGGGGGTCACTCGAATGAATAAGTGGCACTGTATGTTAAGGCTTCATATATAATGTTTCATACCAGGGGCCTATATCAAAGCCCACCTTTGACACGGAGAACAGTAGTAGTCACAATTTCTTCCCTTAACCCAACATGAACCACCCAAGTATATACAATCATACCCACATGCCCCAACAACCAAGCCCTACAAGCAAAGTTCATACACACCCATACTAATATATCATTAAGCAAGTCCCCATAAACAAATATTATAGACACAGAAAATAAAAAGACAAAAAAAGGTATATACACACACACACACACACACACACACACACACACACACACAGAGCCAACGCACTCCATCCCCACCTCCAAACACCATCTCAATTCATCCACCAGAACCCCGAACAACAGACGCTCCATCCAACTCAGCAACAACCGTCCTCTGCCCCTCCAACTCCGACACACCAGCCCCCTTCTCACCACCAACCCCGACCATCCCCCGTCCACTTGCCCCTTCCATCTCATGCAATGCCGCGGCACCCTGTGCATCCATCTCCTGCCTCATACTTCCCTCAAGCATCGGCACATCCTTCCCCACCCCCTCCTCCACCACCACCGGCTTATCCGCCCCCGAAACAGGTCCCTGGACATCCGGACCCTCCTGTGGAAGATCCCCCTGTCCCTTCCGCCTCCGAAAGAAAAGAAACAACGCAATAACCCCGAGGAGGAACACCGCGCCAACAACACCACCGACTATCCCTCCTATCTGGGATCCCGAGAGGCCTTGTTTTGGTTGCGTAGCTGGCGCTGGCGCTGACGTGGTCGGCGACGTAGACGGTGTTGAGGAAGTGGAAGTGGAGTTTGACGTTGATGTTGGCGAGGTAGATGTAGATGTAGAGGAAGCCGTCGAGGTCCCGTTCGTCATGTTCTCATATGCCACACAGCATTGGATGGAGCTTATCCCCGGACATGGCCAGGCGGGCTATCGTCCTCGTCAGTCTCTGTTTGCTAAGCACTACATGGTCGATAGAGGGGAGTAATGCATGTATATATATATAGAGAGAGAGAGAGAGAGAGAGAGAGTATAAAGGGGAGATATACAGCTGATCCGGCGAAGTAAGTCCCCCCATCGCAGGTTTGGTTATTGCTATCTCGACAGAAACCCGTTCCTTCGGGGACTGTGCAGTGGCGTTGGAGACAGCACTATATTTGTCCATTTCTGTTAGTTTGTTGGATGCTTCGTTTTAGTGGGGGGG